CCACCCAAGAGACCCTCAGGACGACCCCAAGACGAGGCAAGAAGGCTCCAAGACTGCAGAAGAGTCGCCCAGGACAGCCCCAGACCACCCCAGAACAGGCCCAAAATGGGCCCAAGAGCGGGAGCAGGAGGCTTCCAGAGACCTCTTAGAAGCTTCCGGGACCCCCCAGAGGCCCCCACCCCCCCCCCCCGATCCTTGAGAGGCCCCAAAAAGACCCCAACGAGGCTCCAAGAACAGCCCAAGAGAGCTGCGAGATCCGTTCCGAGAGAGCCCAAAGAGAGTAAAATCGTTGATTTTCCACTGTTTTTCTAATGTTTTTCGCCTTGTCACGTTTTCCCGGTTCCAACCCTCGAACAAGGATTTTTGGGGGAAACAGGGAATTCCCAGAATTGCTTTTTTTTCAGAGTGGGACTCCGACTCGGAGATCCCACGCATCCCCTGACATCTGGCCGGTACCGGGCCTCCGGGCTTCCCGGGGGGCCTCCGAGACGCCCAAGAACAGCCCAAGACGACCCCAAGGAGCCCCCAGAACGTAAAGAACGGCCCAACACGCCCCCGCGCAGCCCGAGACACCCTTCCGACGGCTCTCCAGGCCTCCAGGAGACCTCCAGAACCCCCAGGGGGTCCGGAAGATCCCACCCCCCTGAGGGGCCCGGCTAACAAAACCCGCGAGGAACAAACAAAAACAGCGCCGAACAGCGCCGAGGAACTGGAAAAACATGGAAATCCCACAATTCCTTTTTTTTTAAGTTTGGCCTCCGGTCTACTCTTCCACAAAAGACCACAATTCAGACCCCCTCACCTCCAAAAAATTACCCTGTGACGTACCCAACCCATATGTATCATGGGAAACGAAGACTTGGCCGAAACTTGCACGGACAATCAAATTGCAGGATCCGTTGTTTAATATGTAAGCTACTTGGGACAAGCTCAGCAGCCCTCGAAAGTGGCGACAGTTTCACAGATCGCAGCCCCCAGCAGCCCTCGAAACGCAGCGACGAGCGAGGTAAGAAAGTGGCGACAATTTCACAGATCGCAGCCCCCCAGGGATGGCGAGGTCCCATTTGAATCCGCCGTGGGTACCCACTGTGCTGGGCCCCCCACCAGGCCTCGAAAGTGGCGACAGTTTCACAGATCGCAGCCCCCCAGGGATGGCGAGGTCTCATTTGAGTCTGCCGTGAGTACCCGCTGTGCTGGGCCCCCCAGCAGGCCTCGAAAGTGGCGACAGTTTCACAGATCGCAGCCCCCCAGGGATGGCGAGGTCCCATTTGAATCCGCCGCGGGTGCACACTGTGCTGGACCCCCCAGCAGGCTTCGAAAGTGGCGACCGTTTCACAGATCGCAGCCCCCCAGGGATTGCGAGGTCCCATTTGAATCCGCCGCGGGTGCACACTGTGCTGGGCCCCCCAGCAGGCCTCGAAAGTGGCGACAGTTTCACAGATCGCAGCCCCCCAGGGATGTCGAGGTCCCATTTGAATCCGCCGCGGGTGCACACTGTGCTGGGCCCCCCAGCAGGCCTCGAAAGTGGCGACAGTTTCACAGATCGCAGCCCCCCAGGGATGGCGAGGTCTAATCTGAATCCCCGTAGGGCGTCACTCCGCTGGGCCCCCCAGCAGGCCACGAAAGTGGCGACAGTTTCACAGATCGCAGCCCCCCAGGGATGGCGAGGTCTAATCTGAATCCCCGTAGGGCGTCACTCCGCTGGGCCCCCCAGCAGCCTCGAAAGTGGCGACAGTTTCACAGATCGCAGCCCCCCGGCCAGCCAGGGATGGGAGGTCACATTTAGAAATCCGCCCGCGGGTGCAACACTGTGCTGGCCCCCCAGCCATGCCTCGAAGTGGCGACATTTTCACAGATACGCTAAGCCCCCCAGGGAGGCGGAGGTCCCATTAGCATCCGCCGCGGGTGCACACTGTGGCTGGGCCCCCCCAGCAGGGGCTCGAAAGTGGCGACAGTTTCACAGATCGCTATTCGGAAAACCAGAGGAAAGCCCCCCCAGCTGGCACGCAGCCACGAGCGAGGCAAAAGGCTTGGGTGAAGAGAGGGACGGGAAGGGGTGGGAAGGAGACGCGCGAGCAGTGCTCTATTCAAAACGAGAACCCAACGCAGGAGGGTTGGGAAAAACAGGAAGCCTTTGAGGGCCCCAAATCGTTGAATACCTAAAGGAAGTTAATGATTTCTGCGTTTCCGCACTTCCCCTTCTATACGATTCCGAGGCTTGTGCAGGGCCTCCAAAGGAGTCCTGGGCCGCAAGAAGCGACCAAAATGAGATTACATGAGTTGGCCGATCAAGCCTAGCTAGAACTTGAGCGCGCGCGAAGCGCGCGCGATGGTTCTAGTATTCTTTTGTTTGTGCCCACCTCGGGCGTCCAGGGGAAATAGATTCCGAGTTCCCCCGACGACCTCCGACGACGGCTCAGCAGGTCCCCAACACAGAGCTCCCCGGAACGGCTCCCCGGGGCCATCTTTCGCTCCCAGCCACGCTCCCGTGGCTCTCTGGAAGAGGCGCGCGCTGCGCGCCAGAGAGCGCCCGGGAGTCCAAGACTCCAGGGAGCCCAAGGCCTACAAGACCATCTAGAACATCCGAGACAAGGAAGTCTAATGGTCGGACCAGCTTCCACCACGTGCCTCTCGGCACGGTTGATGGGCAAGTTTTCCACCACCGCTACCAGATGCAGGACGGGGGAGAGGGGAGGATGAGGAGGTCCTCCTCCTCCTCCTCCTCCTCCTCCTCCTCCTCCTCCTCCCTCTCCTACTTATGGTAGCGGTGGTGGAAAATGGGCCCATCAATGGTGTTTGATTTCTCGTTGGGCAGGGAGGCAGCGCCGCCCAGTCGCGCGCAGCGGTGCGCACATCGGGTGCCGTGCGCCGTGATCGAGCCTCAACCCGGTCCCCCCGCGGGGCCGCGGCCATGGATGCACGTCTTGTCCTCCTCCCTCCTCCTCCTCCTCCTCCTCCTCACTCCTCCTCCTCCCTCCACCTCCTTCCTCCTCCTCCTCCTCCTCCTCCTCATCCCTCCTCCTCCTCCTCTTCTCCTCCTCCTCCTCCTCCTTCTCCTCCTCCTCCTCTTTTGGGGCATATGCCTCGCCATCCGCAGCGCCAGGTCGCAGATACGTAGCACCCCGCAGATGCGGATAAGATTGAGTGGGCGGTGGGGACGTCGGCAGTTTGCGAGACTCTGGAGAAGCCCGCCGCAGGCGCCAAAGTTTCACAAACAAATTCCAAATTCAGCCACGCACCCAGGAACAATGAATGACCGTTCGGCCCCCTCACTCTGATTGTACAGTGGAGGCCCATGCCAAGAAGCAACCTGCTTGCCTGCAGGGTGCCCTGGGTTTCTTGGGTTTCGATGGTTTTGCCATGGGGAGCGCGTGACGTTCCCACGCCAACAGAATCAAGGGGCGTCCTGGGGTTCCAGGGTTGGGTTTCTTGTGGAAGGTTATCTTGTGGATCGGGCCCCACTGTATCCTTCGAAGGAGAAACAGCGGCATAAGTATAAACTTTTGACGGTCCGCGCGGATTTCTTGGATCTGCGCCGGAGCGCCCTGGCGGCGCCTCTGGCGCCGCCCCTGGCGCGCTCCGCGCGCCAGGGAGGGGGGCCAAGTGCAGATCCAAGAAATCCGCGCGGAAAGTCGAAAGTTTATGTTTATGCCGTTATTTCTTCTTCTACTCTTGTCATGGTAGAGATGTGCGTTGGACGTCATACAAGCGCGCCTGTGACGCTCATGGAGCAGGGAAGCCTGGCTTAAGCCCCCCCATCCGCCGTTCCACTTCCTCCTCCCTCTCCTATTCCCCCTCTCCTCACCTTCCTCGTCCCCTCTCCCCTCCCACTCCTATTCCCCCTCTCCCCCTCCTATTCCTCCCGTCCTCGTCCCCTCCCTCCCCGTCCCCGCCCGATTCCCCTCCCCCAGCCCCTCCTCCATCCCACGCCCTTGATCTTGCCCTCTCCTTTCGACCTGCCTCCGTCCCGTCCTCGTTGTCGCCCTCCGCCTCCTTCTTTGGAAGGGTCGGCCGAGGGGTCAATGGCAACAAGAGAGTGGATCGGGGACGAGGTGGTGGGAAGAACGCACATGGCAGAGAGGATATGGGAGAAGGACGATGAAGGTTACGTCTCCCGACGCTTTGTCCCCATGGTGGGGTGAAGGGTTCCCGAGCTTATTATAGAACCTCGTTCGCAACGGCTTGACACCTCCTTGCCCTCCTCCTCCTCCTCCTCCACCTCCTCCACCTCCTCCAAATCCACCCTCCTCCTCCTCCTCCTCCTCCCTCCTCCTCCTCCTCCTCCTCCTCCTCGTCCTCCTCCTCCTCCTCCTCCCACTCTTACCCTCCAGGGACGCACGCTCCTCCACCTCCTCCTCCTCCTCCTCCTCCTCCTCCTCCTCCTCCTCCTCCCCGTCTTCCTCGGCGTCCCCACTCATGCGGTGTTCCTCTCCTGATTTCCCAGAGAGGCGAGTACACCGCGCAGCACCCTTTCAGCGGCACCACGAAGCCGACTGCCAAGCACTGGCCTCAGCGGCCCCAGTGCAAATCGGAGGCCTGGTTGCGCTCGCCAGTCTGGCGCTTCCCCCCCTTGCCTCCTTCCTCCCCCTCCCATCTCCCTCCCCACATCGCCCTCCTTTCCCCTCGCCCCCTCCCCCCTTCTCACCCTTCTCCTGTGCCCCCTGTCATTTCCGCTCGCTTTCCCACCTTTGTGTCCGAGGATCGGGTTTAAGCATTAGGAGAAGGAGGAGGAGGAGGAGGAGGAGGAGGCGGAGGAGGAGGGGATGAGGAGGAGGAGGAGGAGGAGGAGGAGGAGGAGGTTGAGGAGGAGGAGGAGGACGACGACGACGTCGACAACGACGACGACGAGGACGAGGACGAGGACGAGGAGGACGAGGAGGACGAGGAGAAGGAGGAGGAGGAGGAGGAGGAGGAGGAGGAGGAGAAGGATCGGGGGAGTGATCGGGTAAGGATTCTGCGGGAGACGGGTGAGAGAGGCAAGGAGGATTATATCCATGTGTGCAGCGAGGGTGCCCTTTCAGAGTCGTACGCCTGCTGCGCCCAAGCACTGTCTTGGGATAATTTTCGAGGGCCTAGAATAACTAGAGTCAGGGCATCCTTCCCCGCGTTCCCCCGTTCCCACCGCCAGTGGGGGCTGAAGGGGGAGGACGGGATGGGACGGGAGGAGAGGGAAAGATCCTCGTGTTGGCATTGGTCCTGGTCGATCCTAGGGCTCGATGAGGATGAGGATGCATCTATTGAACTTCTACGGCGCGCGGGGATCGACGGGACCTGCCTCGTCGAGTCGTAGGGCGGTGGCTTGCCGGCTGAGTATTGGTTTTATGCTACATGCGCGTGGCAGTGACACACCATCTTCGCACGATGCCCAGCTCCGATCCTCTACCCAGAGGTGCTGCAGGGCATGTCCTCAAGACTTGCGCGTTCGGCGCGAGACGGCGGGTCCAGCTCCTGGACCGTCCAGGAATCTGCAGGAGCTGTGAGTGCACCGTGAGGTGGATATCTGGGGCGGATGTGCGGAAGGGTCCTCCACGGCGGGGGGAGGGGGAGGAGGAGGAGGAGGAGGAGGAGGAGGAGGAGGAGGAGGAGGAGGAGGAGGAGGAGGAGGCGGAGGAGGAGGAGGAGGAGAGTGCGCTTGCTGCACGGGCTTCCCGGTGGACTTCGGCTCGTTGTGCCTTCGGGTGTGTTTGCCCCGTGGCGGGCCTCTGTGGGCCCTCGTCGCCCGAGTCCTCCCGCGTGCGTCCTGCGTCGTGGCTCCTCGGGGTATTTTTGTCCCCGCGGAGCGATCGAGCGAGCGAGGAGGGGGAGGCGGCGGTGGAGGGGGAGAGCAGGACGAGGATGGCGTCCCTGCTCTCCTCGATTCCTCCATGCTCCTCCTCTCCTGCCTCCGTCTCCTGCCTGCCCTGCATCTGCGGAGCCTGCCTGGTGCCAGTGACAAGGAGACGCAGGATGATGGAGACGAGAAGGATGCCGAGGACGAGGAGGATGCTGGACTGGCCAGAGTAATTCAAAGGAGAAATCAGTCGGCGTCACAGCGTTATGCCGCAGACGCTCTATCAGCGCAGACGGTGTTCAAGCTGCAACAGCGTTCCATGCAGCAGCCCATGTGACCCGTCTGCGTCGCCGTTTCCTGGCTCCAAGCACTACGCAAGCTCAACTCTCCTCCTCAGGCTTCCATCCCCGTTTGGCGACGTGCGTGCTTGCATACGTGCTCGCTTATGTGCCTCCTTGTGACGCTAATCCCAAACAGCCGCACGTGCATCACCAAGGAATCCCACTGCGCCCGCAACTGCATGTATCGCTCCACTGCCGTCTGCAGCGCCGCGCGACAGCCAACAGCACTGCGCCTGCCAGCGCAGCACCGCAATCAAAGCGCCTCAACGACTGCGCAGCCGTGAGAGGGAGAAGAGGACGTCGGCCGCCGACTCCAGGATCGATCCCACAGCCCCTGCCTGCTAAGGTTCGGGCACCCTCGGCGAGAGCTGACGAGGCGTGCCCCCTGCGGGAGGGAGGCAGGCGAGGGAGAATTCGACGGCCACAGGAGGGGAGGAGAGAGGAAGGGAGAGGGAAGGAGGGAAGGAGGGATGGGAGGGAGGGAGGGGGACGGATCGGGGCCATGGCGGAATGGAGAGAGGGAGGGATGAATGCGAAGGGTCGGAAAGGGATGACGAAAGGAAACGAGGGTGCGCGACTGCCAGGGGGGGGAGCCTGCAGGACGCTGGGTGTGAGGACGTGCGGCGCCGTGGAAAGTCGAAGCCTGGAAGGCCTGGAAATCTGGACACGCACCATCTGATTGCAGGGGAACGAGCAATGGCATAAACGTAAAAATCTCGGAGGTCCGCCCGGATTTCTCAGGGAGGGGGGTCCAGCGCCGATCCGAGAAATCCGCGCGGACCTCCGAGTTGTTATGTTTATGTCATTGCTCGCTCCCCTGGATTTGGTTGGGGATTGTATCAAGCTGCATCCAGCAGCGGCAAAGGAGGAGGCCAGGGTGGGTTGGAGCTGAACGGGACGGGCAAGGTGAGTGGCACATCAGAGGGGATGCTCTACGATCGCCCCCTTGGAGTGCAGCCATGGATCCGCTAGGGATCATTCGCGCATCTTCCAGCTCAGGCTGATGGTTTGGCTTCTTCTCGTTTGCCTGGCGACTGGGAGCAATGGGCGAATGTAAGCAACATCCGATGAGGATGAGGAGGAGCTATATGGAGATGAGAGGTAGAGTGGTCGTGGTGGAGAGGGAGACGGGAGAAGGGGGAGAGAGACGGCGGAGTCAGGAGCAGATGGACGAGGATGAGGAGGCGCAGGAAGCGGAGGAGAAGGAGGAGGAGGGGGAGGAAGAAGAGGGAGGTGGCAGGCCGTTTTGCAGTGAGACCTCGCTGTTCGACCCCCCCCCCCTCCCCAGACCCCCGACGCCGTGATTTTTTCACAACGTCGCCCTCCAGAGGTCTGGACCCGTTCCCCGGGACCGGTGTTTCATCCTGCGTCGTTTTTTGGAGGTCTCCGTGCCCAGTAAGGGCCCCGGGAGGCCAAAAATACCAAAAAGGTTCCCGTCGTGATCTTGTTCGCAGCGCGAGGGGATCTGGGCCTCTCCCCTCGTCCACACGGACCCTGTCCATCCCCTCCCCCTCCTCCTCCCCCTCCTTCCCCTCCTCCCCCTGCTCCTCCTCCTCCGCCTCCTCCTCCTCCTCCTCCTCCTCCTCTCTTCCTCCGCCTCCTCCTCCTCCTCCTCCTCCTCCTCCTCCTCCTCCTCCTCCTCCTCCTCCTCCTCCTCCTCCTCCTCCTCCTCCTCCCCTCCTCCCCTTCCTCCCCCTCCCCCCCTCCTCCTCCCCTCCTCCTCCTCCTCCTCCTCCTCCTCCTCCTCCTCCTCCTCCTCCTCCGCCTCCTACTCCTATCCTTATTCCTTATTAGAATATACTCCTACTCCCCCCTCAGGCCGGCCATTAGGGGCCGCATCCGGGGGGTCCCATCCTAACCTGTAAAAAACAATACAAAATCAACATTTTTCTTATTTTTTCCTCTCGACATGGACGTCCTGTCGTCCACGGCGATAATCCATTGCAAAAATACCACAAAGAGCACACGCGCGCGTTCATGTCAGAATCCTACCGAACACCGTGTGTTTGCAAGCATTTCAACATAAAAACATCAAAAACCCAATGCTTTTTCACAAAAATTATACAAATTTCCCGCCCGGGCTCTCTTGCTGAAATCATAGGAAAACCATAGGAATCTTAAGAATTCGGTCAAATCCAGCGATTTCACGTCATCGCGCGGTGCACTCGCGATGCTCTGTCATGCACCCAGGCCGCGAATCCTGTGCAAAAAATACCAACAAAGAGCACACTCGCGCGTTCATGTCAGAATCCTACCGAACACCGTGTGTTTGCAAGCATTTCAACATAAAAACATCAAAAACCCAATGCTTTTTCACAAAAATGCTTTGGGGTGTCCTGTCAGACCGTCGGGCTTCCTCCGGCCACCTCTGGCTTCCTGCGGTGTACCGGGCCATTCTCGACTCGTCTGGCAATGCGCGCGCGGCATTCAACACGCGCTCGCCAGTTCCCGTCGGCAACCGCCATCGCGGCCGCATCAGCTGTACCAAACCGGCTGGCCGGTGTGACTTCGGCCCCCAGTTGTGCCAGCTTTGCTTCTTATGTTGTGGGAGGGCGGGTGGGACTGGGCATGCCATGCTTGACTCGCTCGAGCTGGCTAGCTTGACTCCTACTCCTACTCCTACTCCTACTCCTCTCCCTCCTCCTCCTCCTCCTCCTCCCTCCTCCTCCTACCTCCTCCTCCCTCCTCCTCCTCCTCCTCCTCCTCCTCCTCCCCCCCTCCTCCCCCTCCCCTCCTCCTCCTCCTCCTCCTCCACCTCCTCCTTCTCTCCTCCTCCGCCTCCTCCACCTCTCCTCCTCCTCCTCCTCCTCCGCCTACTCCTCCTCCTCCACCTCCAACCACCACCGCCACCTCCTCCACCTCCTCCACCACCTCCTCCACTCCTCCACCTCCTCCTCCTCCTCCTCCTCCTCCTCCACCTCCTCCTCCTCCCTCCTCCTCCTCCTCCCCCATTCCTCCATCCTCCTCCTCCTCCTCCTCCACCTCCCCCTCCTCCCTCCTCCTCCCCTCCTCCTCCCCCTCCTTCCCCCTCCTCCTCCCCTCCTCCTCCTCCTCCTCCTCCTCCTCCACCTTCTCCTCCTTCCTCCTCCCGCTCCGCCTCCTCCACCTCCTCCTCCCCTCCACCTCCACCTCCACCACCACCTGCTCCTCCTCCTCCTTCTCCTCCTCCTCCTCCTACTCCTATCCTTATTCCTTATTAGAATATACTCCTACTCCCCCCTCAGGCCGGCCATTAGGGGCCGCATCCGGGGGGTCCCATCCTAACCCGTAAAAAACAATACAAAATCAACATTTTTCTTATTTTTTCCTCTCGACATGGACGTCCTGTCGTCCACGGCGATAATCCATTGCAGAAAATACCACAAAGAGCACACGCGCGCGTTCATGTC